CAGTTTCTAGCTAGCACTAAAATATTCAGCTGACAGCCTGGTTCCTTACTAACTGGGGAACATCCCTCAGTTCCTTGGCATACAGCCCTCCTCAGAGTACAAAATAAGATCATGACTTGCTCTGAGCAAGTTGACATGAGGATCCACTCAAGATGAAACTCACTGTCTTCTTATAATCTAATCTCCATGGAGAAGCCTCATCACCTTTGCCACATTCTGTTCACTAGAAAGTCATTAAATCTAGCCTGCACTCTGAACACGGGTGGGGGAAGGACAGAATACCAGCAGGCAGAAATCATTGCATGGAGGCATACTGAAGGCTGTGTTCCACAAGGAGGAAGGAATCAGCCGTAAATGAGCTCATATTGTCATATGACATAGCTTGGAATGTAAAGAAAACAAAAACAAATAAACAGAAATAAAACCTATGTGATGTCAGTAAGATTAGAATGGCAAGAGCTTTACAATACTAGAAATATATATTTTTCCATATCACTGCTTCCTCCATTAAAGAATACTTCACTAGGGCCTGTTTTGATTTCCTATTCTTCCCACTGTCCCTGGTGGTCTTTCAGAAAGAGGTAAGGAGTAGAGGACAATATAGAACACACTATAGACATGGATCCCAGCACAACTCTCCTTACACACCAGTCACCCTTGAGCCTGCATTCAGGCACCAGAACAGATCTAACAGCAATCTTTGAGATGCCCTTTCTTTGCATCCCATGACATGTATTATCTAAAATGTCTACATCAGCTGACACCTTAAAGGACTTAATTCTCAAGACCAGTCCATGTTATAATCCAAATACTCTTAGAAAAATATAGCAGAGTTGAAGTCCCTGTCATCTCAGGGTATAATTATTTGTTGGAATTTTTTCTTATACTGACAACAAAGAATGTCTTGTCATTTCTGGAGACAGAATAATAAAAGGAGTTGTATAGAGGGCACACTAGAGACATTCTTTTTGTCATTCCACAAGATGATACACAGAGATCCTATTGGAAAGCAGAGACACTTTAAGGCCAGTCTAGATACACAGAGAACATAAGAAAGCTAGTAGCACTTGTGTGATCTCATTGAAAAAGATGCCCACAAAGGGTGAACACCCAGGGAAAGTGCAGGACCAGAGAGACGAAGCTGCAAACCACAAGGGTTCCCATTGGATGCACAGAAAAAAAAAGAAAAGAAAAAACAATCCTCCTACTGCAGAATGTGCTTACTTGTTCAGTATCTTCCCTAAGAATCACTCACAGTCCAGTGGGATTATACAACAGAAAAAGGAAACCTAACAGGCAAACTTTCCATTGACTGTAACTGCCCACAGAGGCTAAGAAGAGCGGAAAGGAAACATTAAGATACTTCTTCTCATGTGCTCTTGCAAATTCCCATTTCTGGAGCACTTGAGTTGATGAAGAGTACCTCATGACCCGGTATCAAGTGAAGGAAATGATTACCAGTAAACAAGGAGCTTTTGAGTCAGTTGCCTCTCTTCCTGAAGCATGACTGATGGCTAGGTCATCCTACCTCAAAAGATTCCTAGGTGACCTCTTTTGATAAGGCTAGATAATCTGTTTTTATTATGGAGGCATTTATTATGGGTGCTAATAAATATTACACCTCATGCCAGGCCTTATTCTGCCACCATTGAGGGCTCAGCTAATGAGGGAACTCACAAAGCACTTCCTCAGCCATTCCAGTGATCACCACTGTAGCACTTTTGATAGAAATCACCTCTGGAACCAATGTGCATCCCATTGCCCCCAAATTTCTAAGTTTCATCAGTAGAAGGTGGCATGAGTAAAGCTGACATTTATGAATCTCTACCCCTCAGACAGTTGCAAATGTCCAAGCTATAAATAGCAACATTTGGAGAATATTTCTTATGTATCACACAGTCACCCTGTGTCTAAAAGCTACAAATTAAAAGACTCCTTGACTTTTATTTTGGTATCTTCCTTTAACATGTTTCTTCCCACCAATATGCCCTACCATCCTCAATACTGCACATAAAGTCTCTCTCCTAAAGCAGCTCTAGAACATTTCCTTGTTTGGCTTTATATTTATCACTTCATAAGAATGTTAATGAAGAGTGGTGAAAATAATATTGGGCTTGCCGTAAGGATTCTGGGCTGTAAATAGATCCATTGAGCTGTGGTCAAATGCCCATGGGCACACAGCCCCATCATACATGGAATTCACATTTATGTACCAGCAAAACAGTGAATGACTTATGGGTTGTTCTCTAAAGACTGATAATAAATATAGCACTTAAAGGACTGACTAGTCTTAAGGGTGGAGTACTTAGAGACTCTAGTGCACATACTAAATATCTGAAGGACAAATCTGAAACTGTCAAGTGTCCCCATGTAAGATGAATTGACAAGTGGTCTTATTAATAAAAGACCTGGAGCCAGATGTTGAGGTTAAAACTGAGAGATCAGAGGAATAGGACAAGTTACAACCAACCTCAGGCCTTACCAACCCTCAGCCTCCAAAGAGACCTACTTCCTGTATGCCCACGCCTATATGCCTTTTTGTCCCTGCCATCTCACTTCCTCTTTCCACCCAGCTACATCACTTCCTCTTTCTGCACAGCTCTGTCACTTCCTGTCTGTCTGTACAGACCTCCAGACCTTTATGGTTAACTAGTGTTGGAATTAAAGGCATGTATCACCATGCCTGGCTCTGTTCCCAGTGTGGCCTTGAACTCACAGAGATCTGGATGGATCTCTGCCTCCCAAATGCTAGGATTAAAGGTATGTGCTACCATTGCCTGACTTCTATGATTAATATAGTGACTGGCTTTTTCCTCTGATCCTCAGATAAGCTTTATCGGGGTACACAGATAAAATATCACCACATCCTCGTGTTAAAATCTTGCCCTTTCAGTGACCTTATGCAACAGCAAAACAAACACTCTTCCAATTACATGTGTGTGGAAAACATGGGTTAAATTAAGTACATGAAGGCCAAAGTTTTCTTTTCATCCAGAGAAATACACTCTGACTTTTCGCAAAGAGGTAGAAGATATGCTTACTACATACATCAACCATGTGCCTTCAACACAAGTGGTTAAAAGTCTTAGATAACCTTGGATTCTGTCTTTGGTGAAAAAACAGACAGAAAACTCTGAGCTCTTCCTCCATGACTCCTATGATACCTAAAAGAATAATCACAGCAATTACACATCAGAAAGAAGAGAAGTGATAATTATAAAAATGAAACGCTCAGCTATCACTTGGCTAGCCGGCACGGGCACTAACTTTTATATTTCCCCATGGGGGCATATATGAAAGAAGCTCAGAGTGGAGGAGAGAGGAATGCAATTATCAGGACCTCGGGATTTATTCTGTCTGCTCCACAAAAGACAGGAGTGGAGGGGCAGCAGCTGGAACAGTCCCCTCTGGCTCTTTGCAAAGGAAAGGCAAACATTGTTCTCTGTCCACTCACTTCCATTCTGCAAGGATGCCATGGATCATGCTTACTGCTCTGCTTCCTCCCTTCTTGGCCAACTGCCTCACAATCCCAAGTTTATTCCAAAGACAGCAGAGGGATTTTATTTTTCTCTTTTCTTGAATAATGGCATTCTGAGAAATTGGTCCATTTCAGCTGAGCAAAGGTACACTATACTGCTAGAGTATCAGAGGAACAAATATTTCCTTTTTCTGTCTTAGTCTACTGCAAAAGATTAATAGTTCCAAAGACAGACCAAATAATAGTATAATAAGAGTTACAGATGAAATAACACTCGGTCTGCAAGAGGCAAAAATAGTAAGGCCAGGTTAGGTGTTGAGTAAAGAGCAATTCAATTTTCTCTTCAGTTCCACTGAACCAGGCACAGCAGGACTTGGTGAGTTGCTATCATATACATGGGCAATTATTTTTAATTCTAGACATAGCTTTGTGGATAGAAGGGGGAGCTGTTTGTTTGCAAGGTTGCTAGTGACTCTTCATGTGTCCAAGGTAGTTGTCAGCACCATCAACACCATCTCCAACGTATACAGATACTATAGGGCATAAATAATAACCAAGTGTCTTTTTAAGGGAAATTAGAATAAGATTTTTGAAATAAGTTATGAAGAGGTAGTACTTTCAAGTGCTTTAATTTTGTTTTTTATTTTTTAATTAAGCATATGATTCAATGTATTATATATATGTTGCTCTAGGCTTTCTCATTCCTATTTCTTTATCTATTATTTCCGCTGAAGTAAGCAAGATCGAAGAACTTCACAATTATAGGGAAGTGTATAAGACAAATGAATACTGAATTTGCTTTAATATGGTAAAATAGTATCCATGATTAAAAGAACATTAGTTAATAAAAACACTTTCTGATTAGAAGGAAGGGGCTAATTTCCTGTTCGAAACATGAATTCACTTACAGAAACATTTTACAACGTATGCCCTATGGAGAGAGTTCTAAAGTACTTATCAGCAGTGGCATAAAAAACAGACTATACTGGCTTCGGGTCAGCATGCTGCTTCAGTCAGAGTTCCTTCAGTCTTCCCCATCCTAGCATGGGTCACAAGTCTGGAAATATAGCATTGAATAGTTGTGACCTAAACTTACTTGACCATAGAAATGCCTATGAAGAGAGGTGAATTTGATAGAAATATTGTTTTTTACCAGACATCTTTGGGAAACAGTGCTTTGCAGCACAGGTCCATAAAACATGTAAATTTCCAAAATGAGGAGAGCTTGGTGTCCAACCAAGAGCACCTGGTCATGAGTTTTCTCTAGCTCAGTGCTTTGCAAAGTCACTGAACACAAGAACAGCCAAGCAATCGTGTTCCAGTTCCATAAATCCTGACAGGGCCTCAGATTCTGTGCTTCTAACAAGCTAATGCTGCTGGTCCATAAACTTCTCTGTGACCAGAAAAGAGCTCAAAGGCATTTGTCCTCTAGAGTGGGAGGTGCCCAGAATTCCTTGGACCACTCTGTTATATCATTCTTTTTCTTTATTCAAGGGGTGATGGGTATACAAAAGATGCTTACCAATAAAACCTGTTGGGTGTGATGCGCTCGTGAACGAGTTGCCACCGTCTTCCAAAGTCCATGGAGCTATAAAGCTGAAAAACAGAGAAGCAAGGGATCAATTGAATAAGTCAGGGGCCAAAAGTGCACATGAGCACAGATGTCCCCCTGTTCCAGCACAGGTGTCCCCCATCCAATTCCAACAGCGGAGTACCAGAACATCCAAGTAGACACAGAGTTAAACTCAGATAAAAATGCAAGAATATTATCATGCCTCATTTATCATGGTACGTTCTTGCTCTATTTGTTGTTAATTGACTGATGCTTTTGATCTGAGTATAAATATTTTTCTGATGTCCATCACAGTCACTTTGAAGCCAAAACATTCAAGGCAATTCATAATTTTTTGCTTTTAATCTATTGATTGACTGTCACATGAGGATTCACCCTGAAGAATGTGGTGACAAGGAACAGGCAGATTCTGCTCTCTTAGGGGAAAGGTTCATGTATGTAAAAATGTTCATCAGCTGATATCTAAGCTAATAGTATGTTGAACATGTTGTAATCTTTGACTTCTTTATGATTTTGACATAACATAGGTAATATGAAATGGAACTCTTTAATTGCCAGCAGAAATGCCAAGATGATGACAACCTCATGCTTTGGCAGGATAGCAAGAATAAACCTATCTTAGAAAATTGCCCTCATCCAAGGAAGGCCATCACAAATGTGGCCTCCTCCACAAACAAACAAACAAACAAAATAAATAAATAAATAAATAAACAGATGATAAATAAGTCAATAAAACTCTGTGACAATTTCAGCCTATACATTTCTTCTTTATCATCTCTTATTTTTACTTGGCACTTATTATAAGGTAAACATGATATCTTTCAGATTTGCCTATTTAAGTTATATTTGTATGCCTTGATTACATACAAAATGTCTGTGAAATATCCATTGCATTAATAATAACTTAAAATTAGAAATAGTCAGGCTACAGTATATGGCAGCTTATGGAAGAAAACAAAAATCTAGATGCTCTCCAGGGCTTTGAAAAAAATCATAAAGAATCTCATGCCTGACTGACTACCATAGTCAAATTCCATATCCATTTGTTTTATGGGTATAAACTCACTCTGTATAACATACCAAGGATGAGAAATAGTCTATAACATCTCACCATGAGTGACTTTCGATCAAATAAGTGAATTAAATACAGAAATGAATCTAAATGACAATGACAGTGATAGTATGAACAATTCTACCATGTTGTGAGTTCAAATACACCTGACCCATACAGCTTAAATGACAGTTAGGTAGTGATTAGCAACTCCAACCCCTGCTCACCACCATCCTCTGATCCATCAAGACAGACATGATCATCCCATGCGTGATTCCACTACTGCACTTACTATCTGCCTCATGCTAGTAATGGTTGGTGTGCTTCTCCTTCTGAAAAGCAGTGTGTCATAAGGTCAGAGCTTATATGCTTCAGTCACTTGTGTGTGAGAGAGAGTGGCTTTAGGCTGCCTGGAACTTAACACCTGAGCCCTATTTTCTGAAACTCAACCTTGGAGAGGTTGAGTTTGGGTTGAAAGATCCAGAACTTAAATTTTCCAATGACCAGTACAACTCCTCTTCTAAGAATTTGGTATCTAGTCTGTCATGATAGTTGTATTTGGATAAGGGTACACACAAAATTTTATTGGTGGAGAAATCAGAAGACTCCAGCAGTGAAGAGGGTGGCCCTTAATGTACAGGAATAGGAGCACATGCAGTCAGATCCCCAAATAGCATCCCCACTAGCTCTCATCTGAAGGGTTGTGCTCGCCAGAACCTTACTATCAGGTCATATGGCCATGTTTCAATTCCATTATCTCACATTATTTATGATAATCTAAAAATCTTTATGGTATTTAAAACGATTTTGGCCAATTTATGTTTTGTTAGGCTGATATTGATTCAACAGTGGCACCATGAAGAAATATAACTTTCTACTGATAGAATTAGTTATTTCCATAAAGTTATATAGACATATAGACATAGAGTTGATACTACTGATATGTACTTTCATTGTGAAAATACCATATAAGATAGTCATGGTATATACTATCAGTTTCATCCTATATCTGAAGGTATCCAATTTTGATGCTAAAGGTTACTGAAGCAATCATACACAAAATCAGGATGTCTCTCCTAATTCAACTGATCTCGTCTCTGCCATCCCACACCAACTCTACAGCTAGTTCTCACAGTATTTATGCAAACTGTGATCTCCCTCCATGACTAAGTACTAATTCCTGTATGGTGGGTAACTGTTCTGTCTATGACGTTGAAGTACCACCTCTAGAGATGCAGCAGGAACTGCTCCACCTGCCTATGACCTTGAAGTACATGCCCCTGGGGACCCTTAAGGCCTGAGATGCACTTACCCACTGCTCTCTCTCCCTCCTGGGTTTGGATGCTGAGACAGACCAGGCGGAAGAACAGCGTGGACCATAGCTCTGCTTTCCAGGACCCTATGATAAATCTCCTGTGGCCGTAGTGAGTTTTTATCTCCTAATAAATTTCTTGCCCTTTAAGCAGACTCCATGGATTTCTCACATTATTCCTGTGTCTCCAATTCTCTATATAGGGAAAACAGGCAAAACTAGTCTCTGTTGCTCCTATTATCCCTTGTGTATGAGCTTAGTGAATAAAGTAATACTGACTTTAAACTATTAAGTTACATGATCTATAACAGCAAATTTTACTATTTCTTTGAAAAAATAATTATATGCAGTATATGTTTATGAGGTGCAGGGGGATATTTTTAAGTATGTATAGGTTGTGAGGTGATCAAATTATGCTCGATAAATCCATCATATCACATAGTTACCATTTGTAAAGTTAAAAACACTTAAACTCTACTTTTCTAGAAATGATAAAACACAGAATGCATTTATTATGTCACAGATATCTAGAACTTAGTTTTCCTGTACAGATAAATATATCCCTTTGGTTAGATTCCCCACCCCACCTCCTGGTGGCCATCTACTTTCAACTATTGTTTGAGGCTGGCTTAAGATTCCCTAAATCAGTGACATTGTTTGGACTTTGATTTCCTGTTCTTCCCATCTAATTCTTTAGGAAGCAAAAATGTAACTCTTCTGAGAATATATGCAGGTATGCCATGTGATAGGGGAAACTGGTACTGAACACACACACACACACACACACACACACACACACACACACACACACACACGTGAACGTGTGGAAAAATAGAGAAACCTGAAGGATTGACAGAAGTAGAAATGTAACAATGAAATTTCATGAAGAAATAAATCTTCAGCTGGTCCTTTAGTGACAAATAGCATGGGTAGGTAGAAGTTGGACAGAGATTTATGAAGTAGAAGGGACAATAAGAGCAAAGGCACTAAAATGACCAATATTCTGAACTTGGCTTATTGAAATACTCTTAGATTGAAGAAGGGACATGCTGGCTGTTGCTGGCTAAAAGGAGGTAGACATTTTCCACTCACCTATCTTCTGATCTATCTTTTCATCAATTTGCCTATATCTATTTTTTGTCTCTATGCAGTATTTTTATATTGGAGATGAGATAGGTTTTGTGAGGTCCAAACCTGTAATTGGGAAGAAGATATCAATGTACTTTATTGCAAGAATTGACTTTTCTGAGTAGGGCTTCAAGAACTAACTTACTTTCGGTCCCATGGCAGCTATCTGTGGACCAGCTGCTCAGACTAAAGATGAGTGTTTCCCAATCAAATGAAAGAGGCTCCTGAATCAGTGTCATAACTGTACTAGTAGGAATTAGTACAACTAATATATAGGAATTAGTACAAACTCATTCATTGTCAGGCTTGAATCTAGCTGTAGCAAAGAGACAACTTGTCTTGTTTTCCTCTACTGACAAGCCAGTCAAAACTCAAGAGGCTAACTCTGACATGCTGGAGTCTCTACCCTTCAGGGAGGTTATCAGTCCCTCTGCCATGGAGGATCTATTGGGAGGAGAGTGCTTCCTGGGGGGCCCATTCTTCAGGGAAGCATGCCTCCTCTCATCACATGGCCTTCCTACCACAGAAAGAATGAACACTACTGGCCCCCTCCCTTGTCTCTGTTTTTGCTTTCTCAGCTCTTCATCTTGACTGATGGGGAAAAAATTAAATTGAATTTTTTGCCTATGGGCAGATTCAGATGAACAGAAAGAATAGGCTCCTGTTCATTAAGGGCCTTGGCTTAGCTACCTCCTCTCTCAATGTAAAGTGCATTGCTGACTCTGAAATGTATTTTTATTCTACTATGAGCTAGGTCTTTGCAGGCTCTTCATTCATAGACTTGTTCATCTTCTCCATTTAATTATTCACGTACTCATTCATTCATTCACAGAAAGCCTGTGAAACAACTATCATATTGTAGGCACTGAACTAAGAGCTAGAGTTACAAAGATGAAAAATATTATGGCCAGTAGAAGATAGAATTACATGTAATTATATTGTTCTGAATTAGATGTCATGCCAATCTCTGAGAAACTATGGAAAAGTAGGATTTATTTCTTTGCATCATCTACATTTTAAAAATTATTATGAAGCTATATGACTCATAATTAAAATTGTAACATTCAAAACAGTGATTAAATAATGATTTTGCAAAAGGAAGTTTAAGAAGAACATTAATGTTATGCAAATATTCATGATATACTATTCAAATACAAAAGGCATAAAAGATGTTCACTTAACTATTACAAGCTTGAAACATATTAGAAGAAATAAGCAAAAGATATTATCAATGGTCATCTCTAAATTACAGGTTAATGAATAGTGTGTGTGTGTGTGTGTGTGTGTGTGTGTGTGTGTGTGTGTATGTGTGTGTGTGTTTTAAACATTTACATCATTTTCAGTTATTTGTTTATGGTTGATATATATTATAATTCAGCAATCATGTAAGTACATTTTATTTTACATATATTTTATACAGAAAGATTTTTATTATAATGGACATACTACTGTATTTTTATTCTGAAAAGGATAAGAATTAAAACCAGTTTTTTTTTAACTTGAGGTAGCTAGAACTAGACAAAATAATAGGA